ATATATATATATATATATATATATATATATATATATATATATATATATATTAATATCAATAGTACATATTAATACGTTATGTATACTATAAAAAAGATCCATCGAAATAACTCGAGTTGAATTAAATAAATTCAATTTCAAAAGATTGTATATTACAGCAATCTAAAAGTCCCAATTCTTCAGAAAAATATTGGGGTACTATTTTAATCTTCGAAACAAAATAAGCTCGCGAAATTTAGTTTCACGACGTGATCTTAAAATAACCCGATACGTTATTGGTTGTATTTATCGCCTGATATTTTTCGATACTCTTTTGTAAGAATCTTCATCCACACATACATTACAAAAAAGATCTATCCAACAATTTTGTTTATGTGTGTGTTTATGTAGAATCGACATAAATAAACTCAATTATAAGGTTATACTTGATGAAATAACTACCTTGATTCTTTCAGCAATATTTTTGTGTTAGTTTAATTTTTTGTTTGTGTAAAACAAACTTGAAATTACAAGTTTAAGAGAATTATAAAAATTATTGTAATTTATTTATTTATTTATTTATTAACATATAAAGTATACCTATATTTTGCAAATTATTTTCTTAGTATATTTAGAAGTTATTATTAATGAAGAACAGAGAGATTTTTAAAATATTATAATCGCAAGAAATCAAAATAATTTCGAGTTTCTAGAAAGGTCATCACCGAGCTTTATAGTTAATGTGACAATTATAAAATTGACCCGGTCTAGTTGTGTATATATGTGTGTGTGTATGTGATCCAAAGAGGTATTCCATGTACTTTGTTTATTTATTTACTGTGAAAGGAATAGTAAAAGTAAAATCGCAGGTTATTTTTTTTGGAACATGTTTAAGTAAATATGTACCAGATGACATATTTTTTCGGTCATTCTAATGGTACCTCCCAATAAATATTTATTAATTGTTAAATATTTTTTTCTTAATGTACTAATCAGAATAAAATACATATTTTACGTGTGTAAAATCCTTCTTACTCCGAGTTATTAGCTAACTTGATTTGGTACCAAAACAAAATAGCTACGTTGCAGCATGTCTGTATTTTAGTTATTGCAAAAAAATACACAATTTACAGAATCATTGCGGACATAAAAATAAAGGAAAGTTGTCTCTATTATGTCTACACTGAGAGAAAAATTATATTAAAATCAACAAATATTTCCTTGATGGGTGCCATTAATATATTTACTTAAATCTATCCAGACAACATAATGTTTAAAATCGGGACATAAGACATCTTAAAGATAATCTTTAAGACGCCTTAAAGACATTTATACGTAAATCATTTGAAACACATCTTAAAGATGATCTTTAAGACATCTTATGTCTAAATTTTAGACATTATGTTGTCTGGGCTATATTCTCTTTATTTAAACCAAATATTGTTTATTTAAATTAGATAAACAATATTTGATATAAATAAAGAGAATGTAGATTTAAGTAAATATGTTAATGGCACCCATCAAGGAAATATTTGTTGATTTTAATATAATTTTTCTCTTAGTATATATAGTCAATTGCAACAATTAGTTGTTTGAGAAGTTGTAACGTCGAAATTCTAAAAAAGTGTACCAATCGCCCTTGTTTCTCCCTTTAATTTTTTTGTCTGATTTACTTGAATTCCAGTTATATTTCCAGAAATATAAATTCTTGTATTATTCAATTAGATTATCTATTAATAGTTGAAAGAATATCTATATCACGCGCGTACACACATACACACACACACACACACATGCATGTAACTATCTAGTTGCGTTTATATGTTACTACGCTTCAGTTTCGTTAATCTTTTACCATTGACTAAATCTTGCAGTTCACATTGCTACGTCTAATTGTTGATCTGACTTGGTTTTTCTTTAATTTAGCTCAATTGCAGTTTGTGTAAGAAAATTTACATAGTCCTGAGACTTTTATCTTTCTCAGTTTTTCTTATTAAAAGCTCTTGTGTTTTAACGTATTAATTCGCTATACATAAACTATATATATTTCAGGACCGAAGCAGTTCAACTTCCGAGGTCACAATTATTTCTATAGCGGACACGTGTCGGCTCACGCCAATCAGAAGGTGGACTGGCTGGACGCCAGGAACATTTGCAGAGAGTATTGCATGGACCTCATCTCGATAGAAACTCAAGAAGAGAACAACATGATCTTCAGGCTCATCCAGCAGAGTGAGTAGCTGTCTCGCGCGATACCCCGGCTCTCACGAAACTCTCACCGGGGAATAACGCATCCTTCCACCGTGAATCATCTTTATTGTCGCAACTGCGAGTACGAGACCAGTGCACGATCGGAGGACGAAGTCGGCCGGAGTCGACCGCGTTCACGTTCATGAATAAAGAACAGTGTGCTTGACATCGTGCTTGCAGTTGCGATAATCCTCGCGAATAAAGAAAAAAACACATTGGCAAAATCATTTTTATTCAGAACGCGAGATCTCGTAAACGCGTACATAGGGTGTCCCAAACTCTCCTCCGCAATTTTTGTGGGAACGGATTGAGGTGAACATAAAAGTCCTGTACCGTTTTGCGATATTCGCAATAAATTTCGAAATAGTAATTAACCCTTTAAGTCATAGTGTATATAGTCATATATGATATACCTTCTTTAGAACAGTTTTTACGAATTTAAACTAATTTATAGAGATTTATTTTCAATGTGGATTCATTATGAAGCTTAGATGTTCTCCTAATAGAATCATCTGCATAGAACATTAAATTTTACAAATTTAATTATTCATAAATAAATTGATGTAAAAAAAGTTTTTTTTTTAAAGAAATTCATTTGCTAAAAATATTACAAAGTAAACCAATGGAAAAAATGGTTTGGTTGATGCCTTTTAAGATGATGACACAACCTCAAAAATTTCAAAATTCAAGATGGTGAACTCAATATGGCAAGCTGAAATACCAACAATCGGGATAAGTTATATTTCTTTCTGTAAATGAGTAAAGTTGAATCTATGAATAGCTTGAACTTCAAAAAAGTGATTTTGAATTCATGATCAGCAACGCCAAAAACCCTCGGATATCAATTTTCACGGAAATCAAGGGAGTTTTAAAATTGTCGTCCGCCATATTGAATCCGCCATCTTGAATTTTCAAAAACTGACTTCAAATTTGTAATTAGTGACTCCTAAATCCTCCAGATATTGATTAAACAAAGAAAAAGTTTGTGCAGAAAAATTCGTGACTTGAAGAGTTAAGAATTGGTTAAAAAAGGATTAAAAAGGGTTTAAAATTGGTGAATGATCACGCGTGATATGATAAATGAGCTGCAGTGGTGCCGTCTGCTGTTATATACATCAGATCAAACTGAACAAAAAAGTCCTCTATCATTTTGCAAATAACCATAGATTTTTAGGTATTAATTAAAGTTATTAATTAAAGTTATTAATTAAAGAAGATTTGTGCATTAACGTATACGATTATGTTACAATTTTCCTTCATTAATAACTGAAAATCTACCTAATTATTTTCAAAATAATTTTTTGTTCAATTTGTCTTAATATACAAGCACACAATAACATCGGCACTATAATTCTGCCATATCACGCGTGATCATTCACCAATCTTTTTACTTCATAGCTCAATTATTATTTCGAATATCGCAAAACAGTGAAGAATTTTTACCTCAATCTGTTTCCATAAGAATTGCAGAGAATAAATAATCTGAGACACCCTGTATATCGTCTCGCTGAATTCATCGACTTGTCGTTGGCGCCATTGTAACTGTTGTAATGTCGTATAGTCGGTGAAAGAAAGGTTGCGACACTTTCACCTTGATGAATTTCATCAGGACGCATCATCTGATGTTCAATGGGACAAGTTGTTTTTTAGTAACTCTCGAAAGATACATTTTTCTACTAGATATACTCGATACGTTCTGAAATTCATCGAGGTTAAAGTGGCAACTTTTTTCCCACTAATCGTAAATCTTTATACGGCTCATTCGGTATTCAATTACGAAAGAAACATTGGCCAGTGGGAGTTAAATTCGAAACGAATGTTGGCGTACTTTCAAGTTACCGGGCGGACAATAACTTTCAGATGAATTTACACGGGAAAAAATAGGTTGGTTGATTCAACAAGTCCGTAATTTGCTAAACAAACTGTAATGTTATGACTGAGTGAATTTACTTGTAAAGAAATTGTTGATAAAAACAATTATGCATTTGCTCATAAAGATCACAAATCCAATTTAAGATATTTTATTGTAGATTTTAGTTTACAGTAAATCATTTTGTTAGTATACCAACTTTTCTCTAGTATAACAGCAACACAGAATTAGTTATCTCAACAAATACCTTTTTTTAGAATATTATTCACATAGCACAAAAATATTACATCAGCATTAAACTTAAAAAGCTTTTAATTATGTTGCTAAAATTTAAAAACTTTTAATTATGTTGCTAAAGATAGTAGGGATGTTATTCTGAACTTATAATGTTACTTTCCGAGACTTTTAATAAACCTTTGCCAAGTTAATTTAAGGTTTGTGTTTAAATCAAAATATTACTTCAGTACCTATCAAAATATAAATACAGTACCATTTTCAACTAACGTTTCAATAGTATCAACGTACTGCTCTCCGACAGAGAAAATTACTACAACATTGTATTGCAAAAAATATAAAACATTTACTTTCCTGAGATATTACAGCAACGTCTTGATAATAATATTAATAACGTTTTGATAATAATAACATTGAATTTGATGTTATGTGGATATAAACTATATTTTTTATTAATGTTTTACTATCATCTTTGCTGTAACATTATATCTATCGTGCTATAACATTAAACTTCATTGGATACAACCAATAATTTTATGTAAAATTTTAGAAGTAAATTATTTTAACATAAAAACCTAGCTGTTTGTTACTGCTAAAGATCTGCTAAGCTAACGAAATTCAGTTGTAGTGCCAAGCCATTTTTTATACGAGGAAATGATTACATTGTAAAACTTTTACAGCATGATCACCTCCCAGATAATGCAAAATGTTGCATAAGACGTCTTTCATAAGATATCTAAACGACATCTTTTAGACATGTATGTTATCTGAGCTATTTCTATCGCTTGACTCATTCTTTATTACTCTTTCTCTTTTGTATTTAATTATTCAAATCACGTCGCCTTTCCTCCCGTTCATTGCAAGTAAAATTAATACTGTGAAAAGAACTCGGTCAAAAATTAAACGTGAACTTTTCTTTCTTACTTGTTAAGACGTTACAACTAACTAGGCAAGACGTTACAACTAACTAGGTAGTAATATTGTCGTAATATGATTGATAATAATGCACGTGTCAATTATCTTGATTTACGCATTACAATGTACGCGCGTGTGGCCGCTACGAAATCGCATAATTAGTACAAATTGATGTACGAGTCCCGTGTGGGCGAAATGTCTTCTTCCAGCTGTACTCTACAGTAGTTTCCCTGATATCGGACAATTATTGAGTTACCCAATCTCTTATCTTGCGTATATAATGTATTACCGCGTTAGAATGTGACTCTTGTAAAGTGGAAAGCACTAAACATGGCACCGCTAAACATCGTTAGATATTTGCAGCAAATTTTAATGATTATAAGAAAGACCTGGAAGGAAATGCTTTGTCAATTAAGCTACTCAATCCATATGCTTCGATATCTATATGCTGTCTCTCTTTTTTTCTCTCTCTCCTTCTCCTTCTCTTTTTTCATTCAATTTACTACTAAATCAATTATGAAGAGAATGACTCATATGCAGCCTCACCTACGATTAATGACACTTGATTATCTATGAGACTACAAGATATACAAAAATCAATACGAAAAAATATCTAGATTTACTCAATCAACTTGTAAAATGTAGAGAAAACGTGAGAAAATATATCAGGCATGATAGACTAAACTGGCTGAACATCTTTAGCAACATAGTTAAAAGTTTTTTAAGTTCAATGTTGATGTAATATTTTTGTGCAATGTAGGTAATATTCTAAAAAAAGGTATTAGGTGTACAACTTTGCTTCCGCCGTTTTTCTATAGATGGCTTTAGCGGTAAGTGGTCGAAATAAATAGATTATAGACGTCATACAATAAACTTGGGCATCTGTCAACATAACCCCATAGAACCATTAGTCGATTTGTGTCAGCATCATAAAGTTATTCTCGTTTGAAAATGTCAGTTTACGAGCCAAATTCTCGTCATTTGCGGGAGGTTTTAATTTTCTGCTTCAATATGAAGAAATCTGCGGCTGAGGCTCATCGAATGCTCTCAAATACTTATGGTGAGGCCGCTATTAGTGAAAGAACGTGTCGTGAGTGGTTTCAACGCTTCAAGAACGGTGATTTTGACGTCAAAGACCGGCATAGCGGTGGAAGAGAGAAGGTTTTTGAAGATGCAGAATTGGAGGCATTACTTGATCAAGACTCGTGTCAAAATCAAGAAAAATGGCACGATCATTGACTCAACAAGCCATTTTAAAACGCCTCAAAGCCACTGGAATGATTCAGAAGCAAGGAAATTGGGTGACGTACGAATTGAAGCCGAGAGATGTTGAACGGCGTTTGTTTGCTTGTGAACAGCTGCTTGAAAGGCAAAGACGGAAGGGATTTCTGCATCGCATTGTGACTGGGGACGAAAAATGGGTTCATTACGATAACCCCAAGCGCAGAAAATCATGGGGAGTTCCCGGCCATGCTTCCACGTCGACGGCCAAACCGAATATTCACGGCTCCAAGGTCATGCTCTGTGGAACCAGCTCGGCGTAGTGTATTATGAGCTGTTAAAACCGACTGAAATAATCACAGGCGATCGGTATCGAACGCAATTGATGCGTTTGAGCCGAGCATTGAAAGACAAACGGCCGCAATACAACGAGAGACACGATAAAATGATTTTGCAGCATGACAATGTTGCGCATGTCCCCATGTTGCGAAAGTGGTCAAGACATACTTGGAAACGTTGAAATGGGAAGTCCTATCCCACCCGTATTCTCCAGACGTTGCTCCCTCTGACTATCACTCGTTTCGATCAATGGCATACGGCCTGGCTGACCAGCACTTCCGGTCTTATGAAGAAGTAAAAAATTGGATCGATTCGTGGATCGCCTCAAAAGATGACCAGTTTTTTCGACGCGGGATTCATAAGCTGCCCGAAAGATGGGAGAAAGTAGTGGCCAGCGATGGAC